TTCAATCCATCTATGGGTGGCTTAGGAGCGAGAATCCTTTCAACACCAACATTTCTCCCCAAAGCTGTAATTACCAGAATGACATTCATGGGCCAGTGCCTTAGCAGGGTTAGATGGGGCAGTGACAATAATCAGAGTTTACTAACTGTGATAAATGTTTTCCTATTTTGTTTTCCTCTGGACATCTTTGGATACATGTACAGATACATTTTGCTAGAAAACTGTTGGGGGGAAGTAATGCTGGAAATCAAGAAGAGTCACACAATTGTAGTTTGAAAAACATGAAGATTACTACAGAACTACAAATTGCTTGTAGTGTGCCATGGAAGAGAATGTAAACACAATGTTTTCACATTTTGTTTACTTGGGAATGTAATGATGTCATGAGTGACATCACAATGCTCCTTGTTAGTATTGAGGCTTGGGCAGATCTGTTGCTGCCTATAGTAATCTATTGCTGGCTGATTGCAGCAATACATTATTACCCCACTCTGCATTATAATCTGGTGCACAAGAATGATGTTGGATAATATGGATTCCATTTGTGTTTACTGCACAAGCAAATGCTGACGTAAGTGAGTGCAAAGATATTTGATTTATGAATAAGGCTTGGTTCACACTGCTGAGACATAGGATTCAACTTGGGGGACCCCAGGTTGCATGACGTGAAATTCAATGTTTCCCTATGAGAGCCATCTTAACTGGTACTACACAAATCGCTCCAACTTTAGAAAAGGTTCATGCACTGCTTTGGTCTGACTTGGGTACGACTTTAGCCCCTAGACTCCAATGCATAATGTCTAAAGTCGGATCAAAGTTGGAAGGAAGTTGCAGGGCAAAGTCGCATGCAGTCGTACGGCCTGACCGTCGCAGCAGTGTGAACAGAGCCTTATACTTATCTTAACTTTATGCTAACAATTAAAACTGTTTTTTTTCCCTGTATGTGTTGCAATTTAGTGTAGAAAGGAGAATAAAGCTTTCCTAAAGTAAATCGCATAGTTCACTTTGAGTTTTACCATTCTGTTATGTAACATAAAAGTTGTAAGAATGTGTTGTAATTTTAATCAGTAGTAACTATTTCATTGGGAAACAATACAGGAAAATAACTTTGGTTCCTCCCTCTATCTCCTTCCCAGTATCACCCCTTTTAGAGGATACAGAACCAAGTAAAATGTTTTGGTGCTAGGTGATTTATATGGAATTTGTTATTGATAACAAGAAAGGCAGTAAAATAGATCCCCTGTAGCTAGCACCAATAAACCCCCAGCAACAACAGACTCACAAGAGCCATCATCAATAGATCCTCCAACAGCCAGCAACAATAGACCCCCCCCCCTCAACAGTAGATCTCTCCCCGCAAAACTACCCCCCAGCAACAATAGATCCCTCAAGAGCAACAATAGCCCCTCCAGCAAAAATAGATCCCCTCCAGCATCAATAGATCCTCCAGCACACCTTGCCATTACATAGATTCAGTGCCTGGGGTGCCAGAACGGTGTTTCCCCATGTTCCCGTTGAAAAAAGCACTGTGTATACAAATTTTCTATCAAAGTAAGTCCTATCTGCCCTCCACCTCAAAAAAAAAATGATATGTTAAGAAAGACTACAAATATTAAAATGTATAATGTGCGGCACCAAGACAAATAATGCTCGTGGACTCAAGTGGGCAACTAAAGTAATAAAGGGGGTTAACTTAAAGTGTTACTAAACCCACAACAGCAAAATCAGTCTGTATATGCAGTAAAGCCTGCTTGTTATACTCACCGGGGTTAATCTTCTGCATTGTGTGAAAAGGCTGTTTGACCCTGATGTCTCTGATCCTCCCCTTCTTCTAGTGTCCCCCTCTTATCTTTTGCTAAGACATATTGTGTGGAGCCTCTCTGCATATGCTCAGTTTGGTGTGTATTGCTAGAGAGGTTTTTTTTTTCTTGGGAGAGTGCATGTGATTAGCACAGGGCCGATCAGCACTGTCCAGACAGAGGGTCAGGGGTTCTGCATCTTCCTAGAGCAAAATGAAAACTCCTCCTACAAGCGTTAACATGTGCTCTGCTGACCAGAAAAGGTATCTAGCAGTTTGTATTTACTAAAATAATTGCATTTCCATGTTCTGTGTATTGTGGGAGACCCAGGGACAGACTGACCATTTGGAAACTTGGGCACTGCCCGAGGGCCCGAGGTCAGTAGGGGGCCCCATGAGATGCCCCTGATACCTCTTTCATAGGCTTTTTTGAGTCTGGGCAAGGACACAGGGGCCCCATGAACCCCTATTGCCCGGGGGCCCCATGAGTTGTCAGTCCGCCCCTGGGGGAGACCAGATATAGTGAATGCGGGGTCCGGGGTTTAGTATCACTTTAACCATATGTTCACTTTGTGAAGTGAGTGTTAATAAATAAGGTTAACCTATGTTCACACTGACTATCCAATCATGTGTGTTTTTCTTAGCACAGGACTGGTTTATTGGTGTGAATACAATTTCATCGTATTTACTAAGCTCAGTGAATACCACTTTGCTAAATATTCTTTTGTTACACTCACAATTGCATTAGTTCCAGTTCCCAAAAGAACATGCAGTTGAACAGTTGTGCACAAACTCTGCAGACAATTGGGTGACAAATCTGGGGTGCCCACTACAGGCCATATTGCTAACTACTAAGCTACTGTATATCCCTAATGGGTTTCTCTGTGTAGCAGTATACCAATATCAGCATTAGTCAGTAGTAAATGTAAAGAGGTGCAGAAGAGGGTATGAAGGTTTTCCAAAGGCATGCACATGCTGGAGTGGAGAACAACCAGGGCTTTACCACTAGACACAATGGGGTTGATTTACTAAAGCTGGAGAGTGCAAAATCTGGTGCAGCATTGCATAGAAACCAATCAGCTTCCAGGTTTTATTGTCGAAGCTTAATTGAACAAGCTGAAGTTAGAAGCTGATTGGCTACCATGAACAGCTGCACCAGATTTTGCACTCTCCAGTTTTAGTAAATCTACCCCAATATGCCAATGTCTATAGGCTTTTATTTGAACAATGTTTTTATCTGTAGACAATTTTTGGGGGTAAATATACACAGATAATCTATATAAAATTATTTACACCTTGTCACAATAATGTAACCTGTGTTATGAGCAGTAAAATGAGAAAATGAACTGTGCAAAACAGGTGATCTTAACAGCAGGTGCTCTTTGGGTGCCGTAGATTGTGTGCTTACAAATTCCAGTGATGGAAATTCATCACAAAATAAATTGAACTGGTCATAAAACATCCATTTAACCGCTTTCCTGTCTCTCCCTATAGCAGAAATACAGCTACAGGGCGGCACTGGTCTGCAAAATCACATATATATATATATACATGATTTTGCAGCTCCAGGTAGGGGGCGCACGTGAGCCCCACATGCACCCTACCCGTGCCACCATTCTCTGCCTCGGCTGTCAGTCACCGGATCATGGATGTTAATTACTGGTCAGCACCCGGTGATCCCCGAGTATTACCGACCAGGGAGAGAACTGTATGTAAACAATACAGTTCTATTTCCTGTCAGCTCCTGCGCAATTCTTTGTATGGCTCTGCATTGCAAAGCCATACAAAGCAGTGTGCTTATACTGGAAAGCAAACACATAGAATACTGTGAAAGAGCACACAGTTAACCCTTTGATCGCCCCAGATGTTAAACCCTTCCTGCCCAGTGCCATTAGTACAGGGTCAGTGCTTTTTATTAGCACTGTTCACTGTATTGGTGTCACTGGGGATGTCAGAGACACCAAGTCAGTTCCCCTCAGTGTCATTTTATGCCTGCTGCAGTCCCACTATAAATCGCTGATAGCCACCATTACTAGTAAAAAAAAAATTTTTTTTTAAATTCCAAGTATATATACCACCATTTGTAAACGCTATAACTTTCACATAAATCAATTAATTTACACGTATTGGGATTTTTTTTTTGGCAAAGACGTGTAGCAGAAAACATTTTGGCTTAAATATATGATGAAATTTGATTTTTTAAATTTTTTTACTGGACATGTTTAACCATTTGCCACCCGCCCTATGGCCGAATGGCGGCCGGCAAATGTCATCAGCGTTCCAAGTGGACGCCATATGGCGTCCTCCCGCACATGCGCACTTTTCACGCTTGCAGAGCCGCGCAGCGGCGCAATCTGTCACCGGCCGTGTACCTCAGACACGGCCGATGACAGATCTGAGTATCGGCCCCCTTGCGGGTACCATGTGACCTGCTGTGACCAATCACAGCAGGTCACATGACAGTTGTATACAATGGATGGCTTCATTCATGCCATCCATTGTATACTAGTGTCTAGCTGTGAATGGTCACAGCTAATCACATGCACATGTCATGTGATTATCTGTGTCCAAATCACAGCTAAGCACAAAAAAAAAAAAAAAAACCCTGAATGTCATTCAGGTAAATGCTTGCTTAAAGCAAAGTAATTCTTTGCTATAAGCAAATTGTGTAAAAAAAAAAATAAAAAAAATACTGATTACTTCCCCAAAGTAGTACAATGTTACCATAGTAACAATAGGTACAATGTTGTATGACCGCGCAATTGTCATTCAAAGTGTGAGAGCGCTGAAACCTGAAAACTGGCCTAGGCAGGAAGGTGTAAAATTGCCCGGTATTGAATTGGTTAATAGCAAGAAGTCAAAAATATAGTTTTTTTTCTCAAAATTGTCAGTTTTTTTTTTGTTTAAAGCGCAAACAATAAAAACCGCACAGGCGATCAAATACCACCAAAAGAAAGCTCTATTTGTGGAAAAAAAAGGACATAAATTTAATTTGGGTGCAGTGTTGCATGACCGTGCAATTGTCAGTTAAAGTAACACAGCGCCGTAACGCAAAATATGGTCTGGTCAGGAAGGGGGGTAAATCCTCTGGAGGGCAAGTGGTTAACTCAAACAACTACTGTACTACTAACTGAGCAACCTCTAAACACCTAACAAATTCTCCCTTTTATTTTGTATTTTTATTGGCAGCTACAGATGTCGATCACTGGGTCCTGGCCAGAGATTCCCCACCGCCACCCGGCGATCGCTGAGTAACACTGACAGGGGAGAGACCTGTGTGTAAACAACACATCTCTCTCCTGCCAGCAGTAACATGCTGCTGTGTATTTCTCTGCATAGCAGAGAGATACACAGCAGTATGTTTCCCTAGTAAAACACACACAGCACACATAGTAAAACAGCACACAGTTAACCTTTTATCACCCCACATGTTAACCCCTTCCTGCCCAGTGCCATTAGTACTGTGTCAGTGCTTTTTATTAGCACTGATCACTGTATTAGTGTCATTGGGATGTCAGTGGCAGTTAGTCAGTCTCCCCCCCCCAGTGTCAGAATGCCCACCGCAGTCCCGCTAAAAAAATTCCATTATATATAATTTTACTTTCTGCTTTAAAATATACCCAATAAAAAAAAGAACAAAAAAACATGTGTCTTCATTAATTTAGGCCAAAATGTATTCTACTACATGTCATTAGTAAAAAAAATCCAAATAACCCTAGGTTCACACTTGCCCACAATCTTATGGCTGGTTGTGGGTGCAGGAATTGCACCTGTTCCCTCACTCACAACCATCCACAGACAAATCACACTGCTCAGGGCTGCCATTCATTCTGAATGACACCTCCATACATCTCAGCCTGCAGCATGCTTGCGGGAACTGCAGAAAAAGCGCATGGTCAAAAGGACCATGTGATTTCCCTGCCAGCAAAATTTTTGAAAAGGTGCATGCACCTTTCAGCCCATTCAAATGAATGGGCTGATGTGTCTGAGCAAACATGGGCTGCATGGCCCACAATAGTGTGTACCAAGAGTAAGTGTATATTACTTGGTTTGCGTGTAAGCTATAACATCTATGAACAATGGTATGTATACTGGAATTTTGTTATACTGTCTAATGGCAGCGACTTATAGTGGGACTGTGATAGTGCTGTTGGCAATCTGACACTAACTGATACTGGGAAGGAAACTGAGTAACTGACACTGACATCACTGATAATGCTATACACTGTCACTGTAATGGGAAGTTAACATCTAGGGCAGTGGTTCTTAACCTTGTTGGAGGTACTGAACCCCACCAGTTTCATATGCGCATTCACCGAACCCTTCTTAATTGGAAAAATAAAATATGATTTTTAAAATTCAAAACATAGGTATATATTTAGGTATATATTTATACATAGGTGCACAAAATGAACAAAACCGTTAAGAACAGAACCATTAAAACATGATTTTCACACAAAAACATAATAATGAATATTTACTGCACGAATCATATGAGTCGGGTGTGGATCTTCACCTCCGCCGAACCCCCGAGACTGACTCACCGAACCCCTGGGGTTCCATCAAACCCAGGTTAAGAACCACTGATCTAGGGGCAATGAAAGGGTTAATTGTGTGTCTAACAATGTGTAATGTGTGTTGCTTTTACTAATAGATGTGGCTGTGTTTTTTCCCTGCTTTGTATGCTTCTCAGTGTACAGAGCCCTGTGTTGCTAGTAAACCTTTCTATCATTGTTTTGGTTTTCCCTATTTTTGATACTTTTTTCAGAGTAGTGAAAAATGGCACCAGTTTTTTTTTTTTTTGGGTTTTTTTTTTGTTATAATATATTTTGCTCACCTAGTGCATGGTATTTTCAGGGGAGACACTTGGATGTCAGGACACATGGGTGTTCGCTTGCAGGGTAAAGTAGTTGGTTTGTTTACTACATTTTGTTGGTGGCTACTGTTTGTTGCAGGAGGCGTGGCTATTTCTCTCTCTCTGCCATTGGTCCTACTTCACTATTTTATATGATTTGTGTATGCATTATTGGTGTCCCTGTTTGCCTGATGAAGGAACTGCTACAGGCCCTGAAACGCCACAGCCGTGCTGGCAGTGGCGGACTGACAACTCATGGGGCCCCCGGGAATAGGGGATCATGGGGCCCCTGTGTCCTTGCCCAAACTCAAAAAAGCCTATGAAAAAGGTACCAGGGGCATCTCATGGGGCCCCCTACTGACCACTTGGGCAGTGCCCGAGTTTCCAAATGGTCAGTCTGCCCCTGTGTGCTGGTGATGCTTTATTATTGAAGATTCTAATATCTTTCCAGTCTTAGGGTGACAACACTTCTCTATAGATGCAGAATAGTGAGTGATTGTTGTCAGCCTAAGTCCGGAAGCATGTTACTGGCAGGATCACCAGGTGAATATATAAATGGAAAAAGACTGAAAAAAAACTAATGCAGCCACCTAATGTAAGAACTGGTAAGCTGAAATATGGTAAATGTTATTGTTTATGGGTTTAGACATGCTTCATATGCAAGCATCTAAGACCTACAAGGTTATCTAAAAGAAAAATAACCTTGTGTGACAGTTTAACATTGATAGATGTATCTGCCAAATGCAAAGAGATAAATAAGCAGGTGATGAATAAACAGCACTTCAAGTAAAGACATTACACCGCATGCAAAAAATGACGCCAGGCACCTAAGAACTGTGGGTGGCCGAAGGTTAGCCATTTCATGCCCACTCCATAAAGCAGACTTAATCGCTTTCAATATTTTCTGTTAAAAAGGACGCTTAATGAGCCAATTTCACAAGCCCAGAGAAACTGATTATTATCTCTGAGTTCCAACAGAGTTGGTTGTTTTCCAAGAGCTGGTTTTTACTTGATGGGATAAAAAAAAAAAACCTCTAACGTAAATATTGGCATGGAAATGAAAAATATACACTAGATGGCACTGTTGATCTTTATTGTGAAGTCTCTGAAAATGACTTGGAGCCACATACCCATGCTCTAGTCTAGAAGGGAGCTGAAGTGCTGTCAGGTCTGGAAAACGAAGAGATGTCATCAAAAATAGATCTATAGCACTACTTTTCATATATGTTTTTACAGGCGTTTTCCCTTTATATATAGATTCCCAGGTAAACCTTTTGACAATTAAAAGATACAGATCTCAATAGAGGATGCAGGCTTACGTACTATCACTCACTATTACTGTGCTTGTAGATGGGAAGCTTAAAGCGATATTAAACCCAAAAACAAATGTTTATTTTATTGCAGCCTACCAATTCGTAGATGTGATGGCTGCAATCATTTTTTCTTCTATAGGTGTTCTTTCCTTTATTTTCACCTGGCGATCCTGTTAGTAAGTCTGTTGTTTTTCAACTGAGCAAGCTGTTCTGCAGAGGGTTGAGGCAAACCATTTATCACTTACAGAGGTGCTTACAATGATCAGTTTTTATTTATTCACGTAAAAACCTTTTTCCCAAGAGGAAACCAATATTGCTGTGACTGCTTTAAAACCGTTAGATGGAATTTGGCTTTGATTTGTTAGTTTAGCTAAAGCTGCCAGCGCATCTAACACTCTCCTCTCCCCAGATTGGCAATGCTGCTGTCCAAGCATATCTCTGTTGCTTCTTCATCCAGGTTGGGGCGCAGAAGATGTTAAACTGGCCAGATACAAGTAGAATACAGAGGGGAAAAAAAAACTAATGCAGCCACCACATCTAATGTAAGGGTCGAATATATTAATTTTTGGTTTGGGGTTAATCACCATAAGGCTACGTTCACACCAGGGGTGGACTGATAACTCATAGGGCCCCTGGGCAATAGGGAATTATGGGGCCCCTGTGTCCTTGCCCAAACTCAAAAAAGCCTATGAAAAAGGTACCAGGGGCATCTCATGGGGCCCCCTACTGACCCCGGGCCCTTGGGCAGTGCCCAAGTTTCCAAATGGTCAGTCCGCCCCTGGTTCACACTAGCTTTGTCAGCGGACATCAGACAGGGGTTTGGTAAGCGTTTTTTTAACGCAAATTCTGCACATGACAGCACACAGTGCTGTTCACACTGAAGCGTTAGCATCACATCATATTGCATCGCGGTAAAACTGCTGTCGAGCCAGGATGAGTTGAAACCTCCCATTCAAGTCTATGGTGCCGCTCCTCAAACTCCTGGCAGGCGTTTGCGCAGCGGTTGCGACGTAGTTGCGAGGCAGTTGCGAGGGGTTTGAGGAGCGTTAATACCATTTAACTTCATTACAGGCATTTGTGGTGTAGTTTTAATGCTTGGCAAACGCCTATCAAATGCCTCAAAACTGCGAATAGGGCATTTTGGGAGTGTTTGAGGAGCGTTAAAAACTAAAGGGGCGTTTGGCAAGAGTTAAAAAAAAAAAAGTCAATTAACAAAGATTATCTCATATTTTTTAGCTCCTAAAAATGCATTTTGGGTTGAAAGTATCTTGCAAGTTCTATAAACGGTCTATTAAAGGGAACAAAAATAGAAGACATTCCAGATGGAGATAAAACAGTGCCTGAATTAAATACATCTACAGGCATTCTAAATAGGTCCCAAATTCATGTAAAAAGAAAAAACTTTCCTTATCTCCCAAACTTCCTTTACCCCCCAAATTTCCTTCATTTGTCCATTAGGTTAGGTTTTTATTATTACGTGTGCAAAGTCACATTCCCAACATGCAAGAAAAACACACTGCTCTTTAGTAGCTCTTTAGTAGCAGCAAGAGTGCCAATATTAATTAATGGCACCTGCATGTATGGACAAAGCACCTGTGTTTTTCATACATGCCAAGCCACATGGTGCAGCACAATTTAAAGTGGAGTTCCATTTGAATAAAAAAAAATAAAAGTAAGCAGCTACAAAAACTGTGAGTGGGAGGAGGGAGCGCTAAGACGCATCTACCCTGTGTGCGTTTGGGGATGGGCCATCAGCAATGGGGGTTAGTAGAAGGTCCATGTGGAGGTGGTGTCCAAGTCCATCTGTAGTGGGGGGGATTATAGTAGTATGGACTTTTCTGAGGAGGCAGCTGGCTGTAAGAGCTTGTAGATACTCCTAATGCAGGTAGAGAAGAGAGACAGCAGCGCCACTCTAAGTGTAGACAATTAAAATCAGGCAGATTTAATGGTAAACTTGCATCACATAGGTAGGTAACAGGTAGGCATGTCAAGTAAGGGAGGTCCAGTGGGAGCATTAGGTCCTTTGGCCATTCTCTGGGTGATGCGGTGACATCATCCCTGTGAGCCTCCCTGCGCTCCTCTTCTACTCCCTGAGCCCTGGACCCCACTGAAGCGATAGTAAAAAACCCAGAGCGTGGCCAAAGGACCTTATGCTCCCACTGGACCTCCATTACTTGACATGCCTACCTGTTACCTACCTATGTGAGTGCAATTTTACCATTAAATCTGCCTGAGTTTAACCGTCTACACTTAGAGTGGCGCTGCTGTCTCTCTTCTCTATCTAGATACAAAAACTGTAGCTGCTGATTTTAAAATACAGCCACTTAACTGTCCCTTGGTCCAGCGGTGTCCTCACTGCAGCTGATTTCGCCTGGTCTTCTTTTCTCCTCGTCACCGGCATTCTTAGTG